TTTGTATGTGGGATGCCACCACAGTGTGGCTGGTGAATGGAGTAGGTCTGCACCTGGGATCTGAACCTGGAGACCCGGGCCACTGAAGCGGAGCGTGTGGAACTTGAACCACTTGGCCATGGGGCTGGGCCCTTATTTTAAATTTTTTGAGGAACCTCCATACTGTTTTGCATAGTGGCTGTACCTATATATGATTTCTGTAGTGAGTCTGCCCTTTCTCTAGTTTTTGTGTTTAACCAGCTAAAGTTATGGTCTGCCGTGATTTCCTGGCCAGAAATCAACCCCCCCTTATCTCCTCTGGAATGTCTGTAGGATCTGTAATGATGTCCCCTTTTCATTCCTGGTATTGATCTTGTAAAAAAATAAAAAGTTTTGCTATGGTTTCATCAAAGAACTAATGGTTTGTTTTGTATTTAATTTGTTTGCTGCTTCCTTTTTGGTCTATTATTTTATTTCTCCTTTTTTGGGTTGAATTTGCTGTCAGTTTTCCAGTTTCTTGAGATGAAACCTTAGACCATTGATTTTAAACCTTTCTTCTTTTCCAATCTGTGCATAAATTCCCACCTCAGTTCTGCTTTAGCAGGATTCTCAGATTTTGGTGTATTATAATCACAATATCATTCAGTTCAAAATATTCCCTAATTTCCATATGGTTTCTTTTTTAGCCTCTGTTTATGTAAAAGTGTTCCCTTTTTTTTTTTTTTTTTTGCTGAGGAAGATTAGCCCTGAGCTAACATCTGTGCCCACCTTCTTCTATTTTGTATATGGGATGCCTGCCAAAGCATGGCTTGATGAGCAGTGTGTAGGTCCACGCCTGGGAATCAAACCTGTGAACCTCGGGCTGCTGATGCAGAGTGCACGAACTTAACCACTACACCACTGAGCCAGACCCTAAAAGTGTTTCTTAATTAGCAAACTTTGGGGGATTTTTTATCTTCCTATGATTGATTTCCAATTTGATTCCATGGCAGTCAGAGGACACCCTCTGTATAAGATAAATTATTCTCATTTAAAAAGTCTGTTTTGGGCCGGCCCGTGGCTTAGCGGTTAAGTGC